GTTAAGAAATAATATATATATATATATATATATATATATATAATAGATAGGTTAGTTAATAAAACAAGGACAAACAAATCAGTACAATAAACATTTATTAAATGTTAACCCCATAACAGAAATGAAGCATGGAGAAAAAGGTTTTATGTTTGGAATTTTTGGATATACCTGCATCCTTCATCAACAGTTCGAGGAACAAACAGAGAAATGGGAATTACTCACCAACAGATGAGGTATTTTCCAGTAGAAATCGTATTATTAGCAAAAACCAAATCACTGTCTGATTCCTTGCGGTGCAAAACTTTTTATGAAAATAAACTTAAATTTAAAATTTAGTGTAAAAGGCAGATTTATTGTTACTAATGTGTGTCATAGGGGGAGTGAGATTGTAAACATTGATGAAGAGAGTTTATAGGTTGGGATGAGGGAAAAACATCTCGCATGTAGCAAGCTTTAGCAAAAATTGGCAGACCACATGGTCGAGTGTTGAAAGATGGGACTATGGTTAGAATATGAAATGATGTAATGGGAGAAAGGGGAAAAAAAGAAATGTGGAAAAAAAGGGAATATATGATAATAAAATATTATTAAATAAAATGAAAAGAAGAAGAAGTGAAGGTATAAAATATTATAATTATATAAAAATTTGGAAATCTATTGTTAACATAAAAGGGTTTTATAAAATAAAGGAAAAACAGAGGAAAAAAAAAGCATATATATATATATATATATATATATATATATATATATAAATGTATATGTGCACTTAACAGTGTATAAATATACACAAGCCACCACACAAACATATGAATCTCCATAAATGTATAGATATAAATACATGTACAAAATTAATATGTATCTTCACTAGCCTTCCTCTTTCCTTGCATAAGCTTATATGTAAAGGAGCCATTGTGATAGATTCAATGATGGTATAAAAAAGGATGACTAGAAAGAAATTTTCAGTGTACATGGCAATCCTTTTATTGCTGACTAGTGTGTCATGAAGGAAAGCATAGGTGGTAGAAAACAAAATACAGTAAATAGGTGGAGTGATGGCTGTTAAAGTTAAGGGGAAAAAAGGTGTGGTGGACCAACTCATCCGAGGAGTAGTGTTACTGATTATGGGTTTTCTTGTAGAAATTGCACTCTCTGAGTAAACCTAAATCCCTGTTTTAGTCCCTCAATGTTGGAATTTAGTTTTAGGATATAATTCATCTCGGATATGTGTCTGTTCTCCAGGCTGCCAAACCAAGATGCTAAAAGCACACACCTGACGTCATCGATGCTATCACCATTTTCATTTTTTTTTTGTTTTTAAAAATAATATGATAATAATAAACAGTAAGAACATGAAAAAAACTAACAACTGTTAGTTTTTTTCATGTTCTTACTGTTTATTATTATCATATTATTTTTAAAAACACCCCCCCTTGAAAATGGCTAAAGAAGTGGCCAAAAAGCACTTGCGACAATGAAAATTATGTAAGATTTTTGTGCTCTTTTACTCCTACCAAATGGAAAAAACGTAAGGATGCTGGAAAAACAAAATAAAAATTAATTAAATCTTCCTTGGCTTCCATATTTAATGAAAGATGTTTAAAAGAAAGGTTGCTGCCTAAATATACATTTATATATATATATATATATATATGTTTTCAACAATAAAAAATATTAAAAAATTAAAATCTTCAGATACACTGGGTTGTATATTAATATTCTTTTGTTTTTATTATTTAAATTAGATTCCTTGACTAGTTTCGGCCAGCATGGCCATCATCAGGAGAAAAAAAATTCTACTTGTTAGTAGCAGTGATTTACAGAAATGAATGACTTGGAGAAAATGAACTTTATCTGTAGTTTTCATTTACTTTTTTATCATGAATTTTGGTCAGTCCTTGTGTTGGTCCAACAGTCTCTTTTAAGTTGTTATTTAAGATAAGAGCTGGATGGATCCATGCTGCTCTGAATTCCCTTGGTCATTTTGATAGTTTTATTGGTTCCTAGAAAGGGGATGTATCTCTGTTAAGTGTGTGTTATTTGGTTCTTATGGAGTAAGTGAGTATGATATGGGTGTGTGTTATCATTTAGCTCATTAGGGAGTGAGTGGGTATGATGTGTGTAAGTGTGTATATTAGTATGGGTGTGTGTATAAGTGTGAGCCTCAACACCTCCGCAAGCATGTCTGTATATATATATATATATATATATATATATATATATATATAATAATAGCTGGCCCCTCGTATTTGTCTACTAGGGCAGCTAGCCAATCCCTGTTGCAGATGCTCACTCAGGCATATTTTTGTGTTTGTTCAACATCCACAGAGTCCACCTGTGGTTTATACTGCAACTATGCTGAGTAGACCTTAGTTACAGTTTCTGGGAGAGAGAGTGTTATAATTTGAACAATGCCAGTATGTTGAAACCCTCGGCCATGATGACTTGTGGCTTCATGCTAGCACAGCTATCAACAGCCCACAAGAATTCCGTCTACCCAATTCCACTCACAAGGCTTGGGTCAACCTGTGATATGGTTTTCAAGCACTTTCCAAGGTGCCACACACTGGGATCAACCTCAATCCAGTCTGATAACATCAGGAAATCACCTTCCTGACAAATCAACCAGGGTATGATTGGAATCCAGGTCTCATGGTCAGAAAGCGAATGTTATAATCATGTGCCCATACGTGTGTGTGTGTGTATTTATTCAGACACAATGAAAAGAAAAGATAAAGAGAGAGAGAAAATAGAAAAAAGAGAAAATCTTATGATCAAAAGAGGAAAGAAAAAAGGGGAGAAAGACAGATTTCAATATAAAGTTTGTTAGAGGGAAGAGAAAGACAGACAGATAGACATTGAGAGGGGAAAGGGAAAGAGAGTGAGAGAGGGGAAGAAAGGAGTTAAACCAGTTGCCATGTTGACTCAGAATATATTTTTCTACCTCCTGCCATACTTGACAAGTTAAAAATTGTATGGAGGAAGGGAGTGAAAACAGAGACATTGAAATTGTCTAGTCATTTTAAGCAGTGAACTTTTTAAAGGACAGAGTATGGCAATGATCTTCTTGCAGACACGGATGGCATAGCCAAAAGATGGGAGAAACACTTTGATGGGCTAGTGAACAGGCCTTCAAATATGGACCCTGAGGTTCTCGAGAAAATACTCCAAAGACACATAGTGGTAGAACTTGACAGCCAACCATCACTGGGTGAGGTTCTGTGTGGCATGGAGGGACTCAACATGGGCAGGACTGTTGGGGGTCAATGATCTTTCTGCTGAGATATTCAATTAAGGTTGAATACATTAAAGTGAACTTCTGCATGATAATATTGTAATGGTTTGGAGAGATGGAGAAGTGCCAAAAAGATTGGAGGGATGCAACAATGATGCCTATATATATATATAAGGGTTTTAAAGATGCCTGGGAATTATGTAGTAATTATAGAGGGATTGCTCTCCTTTCTTTCAGGTAAGATCTTAGCCTCTGTTCTCCTATTAAGATTAAACCAGAGAATAGACGACAATATACTGCCTGAGTCACAGTGTGGTTTCTGCCAACACAGAGGGCCTGCAGATATGATTTTCACAGCACGACAAATCCAGGAAAAGAGCTGTGAACAACAATTGGACCTTTATCAAATATTTGTAGATCTGAGGAAGGCTTTTGACACTGTTAATTGTGCTGGTCTCTGGAAGATACTCTCAAAATTGGGCTGTACCCCACACTTTCTCAAGATTCTGAGGTCCTTCCATAATGGTATAGAAGCCTGTGTCAGTTTTGTGGTATGCTTATTTGGCCAATCAAGTTTAAAAATGGATTCAAGCAGGGAGATCTTCTGGCTCTTACATTGTTTTCTATTTTTCTGTTCACTTTGCAATTGTACTACTTGATACGTTTGAGGATTGCCATGATGGTATTGTGATAAAGTACAGGCCAACTGGCAAGCTTTTCAGCATATGTAGGTTTACAGCAAGAACAAAAGTCTTTTTGAGTTTAGTGCACAACCTTCTCTATGCTGACGACTGTGACCTGGTCACACACACAATTTGGCAGGGTGAGCCTTGACAAGGCATATGAAAGGGCACATGATCAAAGTGATCATCAAAGTCTCCTTCCACCACCCAGAGATGATTTGATATGCTACATATGTGACAAGAAATGCAGATTGATGGCTGGCTTTATGAGCCACTGTCGTTCACACAACCAATGAATGCAGTGTTGTGAGGGGGGATTTTAAGTGAAGGGCTGGACATGTTAGTGATGGTTGTACTCACTTTACAAGTCAACGGCCACCATATGTGTGTGTGTGTGTGTGTGTGTGTAAATAACAACACACAAAATGCATTGGTCATTGACCATAACAAAACGGACCACAGTTTTGACATAGGAAATGCTACTTTGATTAAAAGAGAAAATAATCTATTGAGATGAAAACGTCTGGAAAGTGCCTTGATTGCTAGTTCAGCCACAATAAATTTGCATCCCTACAATATATCACCATTCTTGGTAGATTTTATATTGTCACATTGTGGGATAATCAGGAACAAAGTTGGTGGAGAGAAAAAGAAAAAGAATACAGATGATTTCAGCTAGATTGAGAAAAAAAATTCTTTCAAAAAATTTTGAAACTACCAGCATCTCTCATTTCATGCACATGTGTAGACGTGGCAACGTTATCTGATAAAATCCCAAAGGATGAAACGCATCACAAAAAAACTTTCCAGTTTTTCATATTTTTCTAAATGTGTGTGTATATATATATATATATATATATATATATATATATATATGTGTGTATGTTCTTTTAAATTTAGCAATATTGGACTTGGCATTTGTATATTATGATAACATAAAAGCAATTTTTTTCAAGGTTTGAATCTATGTGTCCAAACTGAAGAACATCTTCTTTAACTTGGGATTTCTTGAGTTGATATGTCTAGAATCTTTTAAAAATTTATAGTGTAGTCATTTTATCATTTGAATATTTTAATTTTGGTAGATGACTGTATCCTGGATGTTAAAGATGTACATGGAAATACACCTTTGATGCGGGCTGCTTACTATAACTACACGGATATAGTGAAAATACTGGTCAATGCAGGTAAGATCTATTATGCTCTTTTACAGCAGGGATCAGAAAAAATACTTTTGGTAGGGAAAAGGAACAGCTAGGAATTTTTTCTTTTAGACTTGTAGATGAAAGGTATGGTCATCAGCAAGTGAAAAGGTGAGTTATAAATTAGAGATATAAACATCAAACAGGTTGAGAAGTTTAAATATCTGGGAAGTGTTTTAACAGTGGATGGAAAATACAACACCGAGATCCTATCATACATTGGACTAACAAAAGAAGCATTCCAAAAGTTAAGCAAGCTACTGAGAAATGGTAAAATTTCATTAGAAACAAAGAATTGCTTGATTGCTTTGTGTTATTGATCCTCTTATTGACACTCTCCCCATGGACAATGAAAAAACTAGAGGCAGCAAAAATCTGGTTCTACTGAAGGATACTGAGAATTCCATGGACTAACTATCAACTGCAAGAAGACAGGAAGTATGGTCATCAGTAAGAGAAAAAACCCAAGATGTGAGTTATGAATTAGAGATATAAACATCAAGCATGTGCAGAAGTTTAAATATCTTGGAAGTGTTTCAACAGAGGATGGAAAATATGATACTGAGATACAAACATGCATTGGACTAGCCAAAGAAGCATTCCAAAAGTTAAGCAAGGGGCTGGGAAATAGAAAAAATTTGTTAGAAACAAAGAAAAAAGTGCTGGATTGCTATGTAATATCCATTGTCTTATATGGCAGTGAATGCTGGACAGTCTCCCCACAAATGTGGAGAAAACTGGAGTCAACAAAAATGCGTTTCTACAGGAGGATACTGAGACTTTCATGGACAGAGCAAGCAAGCAACAAAAAGAACACTTCTACTCAGAATCAGGGAAAAAAGCTGAAATTCCTTGGACACAATGAGGAAGGAGGGCTTGGAAAAATTAACCCTTATGAGGCATATTGAGGACAAGAGAGATAGGGGGAAGCAGAGAGCCACTTACCTAACGAAATCGTGTGAACTGATGAGAAAACAGAGTGAAGGGACCTTAGCAAAGGGAGGAAAACTGCTAAGGGCCACAAGGGATAGGAATTTTTGGAGAGCCATAATTTCATATATCTAGAAGGAACATAGCACATAGACGATTAAACTGAACTGCATATATATATATATATATATATATATATATATATATATATATAAAACTACATTTTTTAATCTTTTATTTTAAGCCATCATATTATTTATTTTCCTCCCTTCATATGTCTGTTACACTCTGCCATTTCCTCAGATAAATAATGGACCATTCCATTATGATTGCACAGAAAGGTGGAAGAAAAAGATACATTAGGCTGTCTGGTTTTAACAACATTATTTCCTTGTTAACATACATAATAAATAATAAGAAAGAAAGAGGAATGATAATGCTTTCAAATGTTTCATTTCTGCTTCAGTGAAATGGGAAAATTTATAAAATTTTAATCTGTTCATTTCTACCTTTTATTTCTTTAAATAATGGCTTGCATTCATAATTGTGATTGTTATGGAATTTTTTTATTAAATTTGTTAAACTCAAATATTTCACAATGAACTTTACAAGGGGAGTTCCCTATGCATTTTATAGTTGAAATTATTTATAAGTGAAAGTGCAAATTTATTCAATCATTAAATTAACAATTATGATTCATTGGAAAATTATACAAATAAGAAAACAGTAAAATTTTCATTGTTATGGCTACTATTAAATATTATTACATTATAAACAAACATAATTTCTTTTCATGTGTGTGTCAAAGAATAAAGAAATTCTTGAAGATTTTCTTACTAAAAATAACTTTAGATTGAAGTTTTTTCATATTGTTTTCCTATCTGCCTTTAGTAATTCTACATTTTCTGATGTTTTACTCCAGGAGCTGATCTCAATATCCAAAATAATTCTGGACAAACAGCTTTGATTATTAGTCTTTGGGAAGGCAGTGAAAGCACAGCAGAATTCCTTATAAAAAATGACTGCAACTTGAAAATAGCAGACCACTGCGGCCATACACCTTTCTATGTAGCTGTACATTGTGAACTTTTATCTGACCTCAGCATAGCCAAGCTAATCATAAACTCAGGTAAGTAACTTAAATCATTTATTTGATTGTGGAAACTACTGTATAGTTAAATAAACACGACTCTTACAGCAATTTGTATTTCAACTTCTGCCACTTCTGTTTGGCTGAATGCCAGAGTGTATACATGTTCAGCAACTGATGTCAGGATTGGTTGATTTTATGAATCAAGATTATGTTATTGTGAGTGATGGATAAAGAAAAATAGATGTTGCAGTTCAAGTAACCTAACGTTTTTGTTACAGTTACGATCAGATACAAATATATTCATTGGAAACAAGCGGTGTCCAGATAATGCATTCATGAAATTTTGCAACATGCTAATTTCATATAAGTTTCAAATGATCTGCAAATTTTATCTTTTTACATAAATTATAAGCTAAGTAAATTCTATTTTAAATTGGTTTGTTCTTAGTTGAATTATTGTGTTTCATTTATAATATTTAATAAAAAATGTTTTTATTTGAAGTTGGTCAACTTACAAAATGTTTTAATGATGTGTTTAAAGAGTATACAAATTTGTTTATCAAATTTTAAATTCATATAAAATTTTCATGATTGTATGTATCAATCAGAACACTTAACATTTTACTTACAAAAACAATATAGATTGAAAGGGCACAAAAGGGTTTTAATTCAAGGCTAATCTGGAAAGTATTCAGTCATATTAAATATCTTAAGAACAAATTATGTGTTCTGATTTAACTTAGCAAACAATCATAAGAGATCTTTATATACATATGTAAACAGAGACTCTCCTGCAAGGTTGCTCAATTGGTAGTGAGACATTATTAAATGAACTTGTCTACTGTGTGACCACTGCATTCTGATGTGGATTTTTTCTTTGGTTGGGGGCATCATATGAACTCCCACAGTCCAGGTTCACTCTCTCTGACTTACAATTCTGAAAGCTAAGAACATTTTTAAAGTGAGGACATTTCAGATTGGGGGTGAGATTAAAGACAATGTGATGACGTTGTTGGTGGCAGCTCTAAAAGATGATTTTGCAGACAGTTTTGAGAAGTGGTAGTGATGCTGGGATAAATATGGGAGTTCCCAATGGGGAACACTTTGAATCAGACTAAGTGAACCCTTCCAACAACAACAACAACAACAACAAAAATGGGTTGCACATTTTTTTTTTTTTTTTTTTACAAATAATCACCCATTACGAGGCCCAAGAGCCACTCAAGGTAGAGAATTACTGTGTGGTGTTGTATTAGCATAAGAAAGGGCAAGAAGTGACGTTCTTGGGGGCTACAGAGGAAAGATACCAGTTAACTCTAAATTTGAAGAGGTCAAGATTTAATTAGCTAATAACAATAACATTCCAGAGTTCAGTCAAAGATTTTAGAAGGATGGTGTAGAAGTAGACTTTAGAAGGAACTGAAAAACCTAATCCAAAACAAGAAATAAGGAATAAACCTCTACTCCTGTTCAAAAGACCAGGGAGGAGTCTGAATCAGATAATAGGCTGACTTATCCACTCCAGATATTTAAATTTCTATATTTGTTTAATTTTAGTATCCTAGATTTGTCATTTGCATTTTAGGCTCATCCTTTTGCTGATAACTGTGAGTTCTGTTTTCTTGTAGTCTATACTTAATTCTTTTTACTCGCTTTCCTTCACTACCTTCTGTAGGATCCTTTTTAATTTCCTTTCCATGTCTGCTATCAACACTGTGTCATCTGCATATTTTATGTTAAGATTGTGGCTGCCATTAATGAATCCTGGTAGGATTAATTTTCTCAGAAATTGCCTTGCTTGTATAGGTTGAATAAGTCTGGTGAGAAGACACATCCTTGTCTTCCACCCGTTTCTATTTTTGTATATCTTCTCAGGCTTTTTTTAAAATATTAATTGGCAGTAAACTTTCTGGACAGACCTTATAAATCTAATGATCACCTTTCTTAAGTAAATTTGAATATCCAAAATGTAAAATAAATTTGATTTTGAATGCCTTCTTTTTGCATTTTATGATTTTTATTTCCGTTCTTTTACAGGTTATGATGTCCGTCATGATGCTTGGTGGTTACGTCGTGCACCTTTTCGATCAAAACTTTTTACAAATGACAAATTTTTTGATCAGATCATGGAAATAATTGATCCTTATTATCAACCTAAAAGTAACTACAAGCATTTAAGCAAAGATACAACACATTTAAAGAAAGACAACTGAGCAACAAGAAAGAAAGAAGTCTTAATGCAGAAGACTAAAGCAATTATTTTGAGGTTTAAATTCAATTGTTTGAGTTTAAGGCCACATTGCAGAAGCATCCTGTGATGACTGAAATCCCTATGTATAGTTTGTGTGAACAACAAACTTTTTCATCTCTATATCGTGAAACTAAATTGTCATTTTCAAATTTTGGAATTTTGTTTAGTAATCTTATGATGTGTTTTTGATGATGATGATAAAACCTGTTTAAAACTTATCAAAATTACAAGGATAAATCCATCCTTGTGGCAGTTGAAATTTTTTGGAAACATAATGAAGAAAGAAGGCTTGGAGAATTTGACACTCACAGGATGTATTGAACGCAAGAAGGGCAGAGTGAAACAACAAATAACTTACCTAACAAAAGGTGGGATGGACTGTAAAAAAACAAACATTGGTTAGAGCTACAAAAGACATGAAGTTGTGGAGAACTATGACTGCCCATGTACTGAAGGCACATGGCTTATAAAAGAAGACTTTCCTAGTGAAGATTTCAAATCAAGGGAGATAATTGGTCATCAAAAAGTTAATACCAAAATTAGTATAAATAAAGTACAATTCAGAAGTGAAACAAAATGACTGCCCAATTCTAAAAAAAAAAAAAAAAAGGTTTTAAAGTTTACAAATTTATTAATATTTTTTCATAATGTAAATATCTTAAATTTTCAATGTTAATTTTAATCATTGTAATAATTTCATATGTGTTCTAATCAAGGCAATACATATAAAGGGCCTGGTAGTCATGCAACTGGGCTGCAAATCTGAGGACAGACATATGAGGGCATAAATTGCTACTAAATAACAATTACTGTGAACATTTTAGCATGGAATTTGTTAATAATATCCAGTTTCGCAATTTAATATTGTTCAATGATGCTACAAAATTATAAGAGAAGACTATATTGTCTTCTCTTTTATGTTTTTAAGAAAAGTTGTAAAAGATTAAATTTAAAATTCTTAATAACATTTTTCACTAATTTTTAAGTATAAAACGTTTTTTGTCTTACATTAATTTTATTTCAATATTATTTTGAATAATACTGATATCAACATGAAACAAAAATGGTCTTATATCAGATGTTTAGAGAAAATAAAGAATGAAAGCTATGTAGTTAGATTGATAGTCCTTGTGATCTAATTAGGAATGCAGCTTAAAATATACAGTAATAGCAGTGTCCAGAGAAAACCTTCCTTTTGAAGACTTCCTGAGAAAATGATGCAAATTTGAATCTCACTGGAAATTTATTTTTTTGCTAATTATATGATTCAGAATTAAAATAAAAAGCAAAAGAAATAAGATGAAAAAAATACTAGTCAAAAATGAATAACTAGTTTAGTACTTGTTGCTTCACTGAGAATAAGATCAAATTTCAAATCTAAATTGGCCAAAATTTAATATACGTATCCCCATCCCCACCAAAAATGGTGTGTCAAAAGAACAGATTTTCTCTTGACACCATTATTACTGTATATTCCCTTGGTAATTTTCATTACTTTAAAAAGTTACTTTTATAATTTCAATAAAACCTTAACATATGAAACTGGATTTATGCATTGTCTTTTTTTTCTTGAGAATGACAACAAAGATGTTAAACACTATTTATTTTATTAGATTGTTTATTTACAAGAATAATTTATATTTTATAAAAAAAATATGTGAACCAACTACAATGCAATATTTATTATTTATTTTATAAAGGAATAACTACAAAAATTTATCTTTTTTTCATAAATTTATAAAAATGTCTGAACAAAAAAATTTAAACAAACACATTTTGAAAAATGTATTTTCTGGGCATTACTTTCAATTTTTCTCACCGCATAAATTCACTAAAATAGTTTGCAAGCATGTGAATTTATACTTTTTCTTCTCGAGAAGTGACAACAAAAATGTTAAACACTTTGTTTATTAGACAGTGTATTTACAAGAATAGTGTTTCATATTTTGTTGTCAATTCTCAAGAAAAAAGCAAAAGTATCAATCCAGTCTCATATGTTTGCATTTTATTAAAATTATATAAATAGCTTTTTAAAACAATGAAAGTTGTCAAGAAATTATACAGTAATAGCAGTGTCTAGAGAAAAATCTTCCTTTTGACAAACCATTTTTTTTGCAGATATGTTTGTTAGGCATTACCCTAAATTGTTGATCCATTTAAAATAGTATTAGAAAACATAATTGGTTTTAATACAGAAGGTGTCATAAAAACAATTTTAAAGGGATGCACATTTCATTTTCATACTCTTTTCCTGTTATCCACGGGTTGTTGCCAGAGTGAAAGGGAAATTAACCCTCAGAACACATCTTCATTTCAATTGCATTCAGATTGTGTATGTACATTGGTGTGGGCACATGTATATTTTAATTCAGTTATAAACTTAAAAATATTAATAATTTATTAATAATCAATAAAAAATAATTCTATTTATTACCTGATAATTTCTTAAATGTTCAATAAAATAAAATAATTATATGATTATTTGGGAGTTTAAAAAATTTTTTTGTTTCCAACTTTGCTTTTATTGCTCAGGCGAAGGCAGGAGTTATCTAGACTGAGTAGGAAGAAAATGTATTTTTATTTGAAATTCAGTCAGACTGTGTGTGTAAATTAAATGGTACAATCACATGAAAGTCAGGTACAAGACGGACATACACATATAAATTACATAATACATGCTTGCAAAGTCATTTGCAGCAAACCTTTCACTGCTCTATTGCTATTTCCATGGAAAGTACTCAGACAAACTACATTCCACCAGTTGTAACCTTCATGGCTAGGACCTGACATGCCATACACATTGTAGCAAACCACCCTCATTCCCATTAGAATCTGTTAGTGAGATGTAAGCTCTATTTGAGCAGCTTCTTTCCACAAATCACTGCTTTGTGGAACTGACCCCCAAACGGATGCTTCTCCAATCACTATAATCTTAATCTGTTCAATTTGAGAGTCAACTATTATTTTCTGTCACATATTACCATAAACTGTATCTTACTCTATAACCTCTAACTCAAGTGGCTCTTAGGCCTTCAACAGAGTGAATATCATTGTAAAAACAAAAAAAAAACAGTGTGATAAACATAGAATTATCTCTTCTTTTATAATATAGATCCAGTTAAGTTTTTCAACCTCACTTCAAAATTTCTTGTATGATTAAAGACTTGCATCTGTGAACTGTACAAGGCCCAAGAGATACTCAAGGTAGAGGTTACAGAGTAAAAGGCACAGTTTACATGGATATATGGAGAAGATAACAGTTAACTCTAGACTTAAACAGGTTAAGATTGTAGTGATTTGGGAAACATTCTCTTGGGAGTCAGGTCCACAGACCAGGGGTATGCAGGAACACTGGTGGAACTAAAGGATATAGTTCCTCTGAGCACTTTCTACAGAAGTAGTGATTGAGCAGTGAGAGGCTTGCAATGTTTCATCTCTGAGAGTGAGGTTGTAGGGTGGAAAATAATTTGTCACCCACAAGGACACAGAGATGCTTTTGAACTCTATCAAGACTGGAAAGTGAGAACTGGGTAACTCCTGCCCAAATATGACAGCAGGACTCCATGTTAGGCCTGATCTGGCTCTTATAAAATTATAGGATAACAAGAGTTGTCAGGTACTTACTGGAGCAGTACAGGCAATCAACCATTTTAGCTGCATCTTTAGTGTTGGATCAAATGTACCTGATCCACTTGAGGTCTGGATATAGTTTACGGTCCAGTAGTTCCTCAAGGCATTGGGCCTCCCTGATGGAAACATCCATTCATCATGACTGGTGATAGTTCACGATCCAACAGGCAATGATGGAATGTAACTAGTTTGCTTTTCAAGAAAGAAAATGAAAATAGTTGTGGTGATACTTAAGGGATATAAACATTTTTAATTATCCAAACATTTTTAGTATTTTGAGAAACAGTTTTATTTTTATTTTAAATCATTTCATTCCAAGTAAGGCAATAAAGCAAATAAAACTCAAAGGTTTAATGAGTGTGAAAGAATATAATAAAAAAAAAACATTATTCAGGAGAGAGAACAATAAAAGAAGAGAGAAGATAATGATTGACGTTGCATTTAGACTTTTAAAGATTAAATTTGACTGGAAAGCAAGCTGGAAGAGAGTTCTACGAGTGAAAAGTGCAAGAGAAAAAATTGTTAGCATAGAGCTTATGGTTACATCTAACCATTTCAACTGTAAAATGATTAGACATATCTGCCAATCAATGATAGAAAGTCAAAAATTATCTGCAACCTTAACACAGATATGTTATGACAAAAATGCTGATAATTTTTTATTTATCCTTATAGTACTGTAAATAGTATTTGTAAAGTTGAGGTATTAAAGTGGAAATGTCATCAGAACAATTGCCATGAAATCCGTTGTATAGTTTTGATGTTACTTGGCATCCAATCAAAGGAAGCCTAAATGTCTTCAGTGGACAACAAAAACAAAAGAATTGGCATTGCTGTTCTAACACTTTTGGAGGGAACCGTATACACACACACAAACAAGTTAACTTTAACTGACAAAATTTGTCTAATAATTTTCTATATTTTTCCAATTTCCATATGAGATGAAGTGTTCAAGTACTTTCGACTATCTCACTCATTATCAACAACTGGATGTTGTCAGTATGGTAAAAAATATTTTCTGACTAAATCCTGACAGTTTTAAATCACTAAAGTGTACATTGAAGTGTGTATATAATATTAAATATTTACTAGGCATACAATATATATAATATATATAAAAATAAATAACAAAACCTTTCATACATACTTCTCATAACTGAGTCATGGACAGAACTGGGCGTTTTCAATATGGCAAGCAGAATGGACAATGTCATTGAATGGACCAGAAATTCATTCATAGAAACTCAGATATTGACATGCCACTGAGACAGACAGAAATGGGTGTTGTCAGTTCTGCCACTGTCTTAGTAGTGAATTAATACCTGATTCTCT